AAAACAAGGTATAGTTTCACATCCAATATTGGTATTTTTTTACATACATCATACTGCATAATAATGAGACCTATCACTTGTAAGAGAATTGAACTCCACTGCACACGATTAATAGGACGTCGAAAAAGAACCCATAATAGAATAGCTGCCTGAAACGATGTAAATGATTTGAACAATGAAATTGTGGCCACATCAACATACTGGAACAATATAAATGCAATTTGATTGTTTGTGCAGTATAATAAGGCAAGAACAAATGTGTGCACAAGGAACTGTTTACTCAGCTGTTCGCGAACTAAATTTCTATATGAAACCAATCTGCCATATAATTTGCTTGTCAAGCTGGCATTTGCCAATGCTTCGTCTATTGAAACCGCAGTAAAAAGGGTTAAGTACGAACTAATGCAAAACTTAATAATCTCTGCTAGAGTTATAGCAGATATTGTTGAATAAGAATACTTTCCATTGGTTTGTGAAAATTTGTAAACAAGTGCTACCATAATTTGAACAAACATAAGCGAAGCAAAGGCCAATAGTTTCGTTCCATAATGACTCATTTTAAAGTGAATCGAATTTTATGTATGACGCAGCGAAAAATCTATTTGAAAAGATTTTATTTTTAGTAAACTCTTGTAACGAAGTAGGTGAAACTAAGAATATAATTAAGTACAATATCTTCAGACTCTCATAGCTTGAAAGATTTCAAAGACTTTTCAGGTTTCAAAAAATAGAAAAATAATCTGAGCTTAGCTTTTCATTGATTTTCGACTCTTACCTCTAAAACTCCAGCACTTTTTATGTTAAATATATTGACTAGAGCCACAATGACTTAGTTAATTAAAAAATTAAGGCAGAATCTATTGATAGGACTGTGGCATTGCTCCTTCAGGAAGTGTGGATGTGAGTGTAGAATTTGTTGTTGCACATAGATTGTTTATTTGCGTTTTTATTAATTCGTTTAAATTTTTCATTTCTATTCAGACATCACCCTAATAGCTTGCTATTATAATTTATTTTGTGGCTTATTCTGCCTCAACGTATTCTATCTACTAGTATTTCAATGAGTATTAAAACGTAAAACTGATGTATAAATGAAGAGATACCTAATCTACATGATCATCACAAAATATAGAATACTGACGGTACAGTGATTTCATCAAAATATGTGAAAAAGATATTCCGTGCTAGAAGACTATAGTTCTTTTTTTATATTCGTCAGTATGTCGGCCGCATAGAAACGATTGAAAAACCTAACAATGGCTAAAAATAAGTAAAATGTCCATCACAATATATTTTTAACGGAGAACTTGGAACTATACTGACATGATAGGTTTTATAAACGAAAGTTTGCTCTACATGATCATATATAATACTTTCCAAAGACCTCTTAGTGTGTGAATGTGAATATCAACGATTCTGAACACCGGTAAATGTGAATATAGTGTCGGGCTTAGAGAACTACAAAATTTAACTGTGATTTCAAAAAGAAACAATTCAAACTTTTTTCAAGAGTCGAAATTTTTTCTTACCGGTGAGTGGTATGTAGAAGAAAAAGCAAGAATATGTGTACATTGTCTGTGCACGTTCTTTAACAAGAGTAAACAAAGAACGAATTTCATTTCTCTCTACGATACATAAATAGGCATCTATTCGCATACTTGTTATATGTCGCAAACGAAGAATAGAGAAAAAGAAAGCGTACAAGTTGAAGCAACGACGTTCATACTATTACAGTGTCAATCAACAACGTGGCATTTGTGCAACGTTACAACCATTTTGACGATGGTAAAAGACGTCTGTTGCGAGGAAGTATATTTGCATTCAATAAAAAACAGATTTTTCTGCCATTGAATCGTTCATATCGTCACTTCTTCGCAAGTCATTTTCGAAAGTTCGAAGCATCTACTCCTAGTGTCCGACCATCATAGATATTTTGCGATAAACCTATGTAGAATCAAGATCACAGAAAAAGACCGATTTTATAAAACTCTTTCTTCAATTTATCCGACATCATTTCGAAACCGCTCGGGAACTGTTGACCGCCTTCAGATGGTAAGAGTGGAACGTGGATGTGTGAGTGTAGCTGTCTTTTTTCATGTGCATGTACGTGAAGATGAATTGTGCGTGATATGAAGGTATGATTTAGCTTTAGGATATAAGATGTGGCAGTTTATGTGAGAGCGAATATGAATGATTGGATGTATCTGTGTTGATATTGGTGTGTCTGTGTGCGGATGTGCTTAACGATCCCATTCAGCTTGAACGTTGATGTATATGGACTAGAAGAGCGGTTGGTTCCGGTTAGACTATTGGCGAAATAATATTTAAACAAAAAATGGGAAAAAAACATATGCTACAGTGGCATACTTAGAGGATGACGCTGAAAGTAATCATTCCTGTCTTCCGACATATTTTTCTATTTTTCTCAACAGAAAAGGCCTGAAAATGAGCCGATACGAGCTTGATCTTATGTCAATTGTAATAGCAACATCCAAACTTTGTAGAATATTCATGTTTCATTATAGCAATCGTGATTGAGTGGCTACGTAGTTCAACATGTATCCAGAAAGTAGTGTTCAAACCTTTATAAGCATCAGCCATGAAATGACTCTGGAAGGGCACTAACATATGTTTGTCTCGAATTATTCTTCCGATAGCATACTGTCTACATTATGGCATACACTTGCTCTTGTGACTAGTATATAGCTAGTTAGTATGTATGGAAAGCTGAAGCAATTGAGCGCAAGAACTTTGTATTAGACTGGTCTTCTTTTCAGAGCTACAGCTAGTCATATTTCTATGGAAGATTTCGGCCTATGGAGTCTACCGTTAGAGATAGCATACCATTTCATAAACTAGCTGAAAAGCAATGATATGAGGAAAACAAGATTATTTAGTATGATTCATAATTTTACCATTATTCTGATGGCACTATTTTTTTTTCACTTTCATAATCATCACTGCACAATTAATATTCATCTTCTTCATTAATTTTATCCTTCATTAAAGTACAATTGTCGTCATTGTTGTTCTGCCTAGGATCAAGTTCTTTTTGTACTGACATGTAAAGACCTACAAATTGGTCACTTAGGTCTCTAGGGTATATGGATGTGGTTATATATGGAGTATTGGTTTCAAGTTTCTTGTGAAATCCTAGAAGGATTTTTCAAGTTTCTGAGTCTTAAAATCCTGTCAAGTTTCATTTAGGACTTTATCTTAAACCATATTAACTTCTATGTTCCATGATTAAACAGGATTCTTATTAGGATTCGGAAAAACTGAATTTGAAGAGAAACCAATTAAACGTACATTCAGATCGACATTTTCCTTCGACACGTCTTTTAAATATTCTTTCAAGAAATTCAATAATATTCTAACAGAAATCTTGCAATATTCTACGGTATAAAATGGAAATTTTGTTTTTTCTATTAGGAACTGTTGAAGTTGTAGCAGGATTCTGATTTAAAAAATCGAATAAATTATCCAGAGCCTTGATGTGATTTTGTTACCAATCGTGCAAAAATCTATGATATGTTGTGACGACTCTTTTTTTCTCAGGATTCAGATATTTTCTTAACCGATTCCTCGCCTCTCTCCATTGACAAAGTACTCACAGACTCTTAGTATAATCTAGTCTTAAATTCTGTGAAGATTTTGAAACTCTGTGGCTATAGGCTTTTCTCGAGATTTGGTATTTCCTTCAATGATTCCTAGTTCAACAATAGCAGTAACTTGTCCAGTATCTTCACTAAATTTTGTTCAAATTTTGTGTAGGCTTTGAGGTTCCGTTTCAACTGGTTACTTTCAAGATTTTATCCTTTCCTCGCGGAAAAAGAATAGCAAATCTAATTACAGTTCTCTTTGGATTTCTCAAAGATCTAGTATAGAAGCGTAAAAGATTTTGCATAGGAGTAAATGATCTTTGTTTTGCTCTAAGTTTTGAAAATACGGTCGTATTCGACACAAAATCCTTGTTTACAACTGTATGTCAATAGCGTATTCGTCTTCATGAATATGTGCCACAATCGTTACTTCCTTGTACTGATGTCAAAGAAAGTAAATCAAATAAAAAATTATGCAGACTATTTCAATATACTATCAACTAATGACAATTACTCGCGATTATATGTGTACCTGAATTCTGAAAAAAGAAAAGTATCTTCAGTAGATTGAGAAGACAGTGATATCTCAAGGGAGGTCTCTCCTTTCTCTTACCATCGAACTCTTTAGTATCGTCTCATGAAGCAATAGGGTGAACCGGTGTAACATTGCAACTCTATAGTCTGTTTCTGGCTAGTCATGATTGGATTGTTTGCGATGATAAACATTGACAAAATCATTCTAAAATTGCCTTGCACTAACACTAACAAAGATACGATATGGTCATGATTCTTCTGTCATATCCAAGAAAACCAACTGATTTCTTGATTTCCTTTGACTTCTAATCATTTCTCTAATATCTGATGTTTTTAAATCATTTATAATGGTCTCTAGCATAGAAATGATGTTGTTCTTCCTTGAAATAACCGGCATGATGAATTAATTACATACCTTTTCTCATTCCCATGTTCATCTGTCCTCAAGATATGAGTGGGTGTATAGACGTGGATGTAGGTACAAACGTCGGTATGATTTAATATATAGTAGAGCACTTACACTCACACTCATCGGCACTAATACATCTATATATGTCCGCATCTGTCACCATTACGTTCAGCTCCACACTCTCTTACACCTACACCCGAAGTGTATGTCAATTTTTCGACATAGAATGGACCTAAATGTTGCATAAACAGCATTATTCTGCTACTAAAAGATTTATTGTAAAATTCTGCGTTATGAAAATGCTGAATAAAGGAAGACTTAAGATGATTTAAAAATGGCTCTTGTACATCTCTGTTTTTCGAGAAAATGAGCTCTACATAATAAATGTAACCAAATGCTTTCGATAATATTCAGTTTACAGTTAAGTTCAAAGTCATATCAGGAACCATTCGTTATTATTCGTTCGATTTGGTATGATGAATTTTTTCTAGCGTACTATCACGATATAGTTTTATTGCAAATTTATAAAATTGTATTTGATGTTCGAACGTATTATGCAGCGGTATCAGGGTAAAATAGAGTTGCGCCGTAATCATTTTTAAATCAGCTGAACTTGCAGCATTTGAATATTCTCTCGAAACAAAATTTTCAAATGTTCGAACAAGTTGCGAGAGATATGTTTCCACTGCAGACGTTGAAAGTAAATCTATTTTGTTCAATAAAATAAAATCATATCCAGTTAGTGATTGATATACTTTCGCTAAATCATAATTTAAATCACCATGTAAAGTTAATTCTGTTCCTAAAGATCCTCGCATATCTAAAAAGACCACCCGACTATCTGGTGTTAGCAAAGCATTACTAAAAACTGGATCACCATGAATAATTGGATTATATTGGCCACAGTTAGATCTTTCATATTCAGTGAAATATTTAATGAAATAATCGACAAAATCTTTAGAAGGAATCATTGATGATTCGAAATGATTTTTAAAGTATTCGTCCAAATTTAAATATATATCAACATATCGATTGTAACGCGATAAAATTTTGCTGGAATAATTTGCATAAATATTTGATTTTATTTCTGTAGGTTCTACCGGTAATGACAAATGAATACGTTTTAACGATGATAAAAATTTTAATAATCGGCCTTCGGTCAAACATAGGTTTGTAAACAAATGTGAATAAGTAATACCATTGATGTTTTCCATAATTATGGATGTAATACCAGCATCTTTGTTCGTTTCAATACGGTCTAGCTGTGGAAATAAGCCCACAATAGATGGTGGGATATTTTGATAAAAGTAAATTTCACCTTGAAGACAGTCCGTTGAAGAACTTTTAATAATTGAATTGTCCAAGTGTTGAACTGTGTTAAAATGTCGAGAAGAAATAAAGCCGTATTTTCGTCTTTGATATCGAGAATCACATACAGTACCATCAAGTGACCATCCAATCTCTTTTGCCGTATCAATCAAAGCATGAATAGCCAAATCGTCAACGTAGACATCAGCATATGGTTTTCCGAACAACAATTCATCATATGGTATGTCAAATTTAGCCAATGTTTCAAGTGTTATCCGTCCGATATCAGCAATGACGGCACCAACATTACCTGCATGAGTCCTCATTCGACGAGCTGTTTGGATTATGATATAATGGCCAGCTCTGTGCAGCTCTCGAACCAATTGAATATTTTGTAGTTTTGGTTCAACCGAGTTATAGTCGCCATGTTTACTTGGATAAGAGACCAATGTATTGTCCAAATCAAAGCAAAATCTCATTCGACGAATAGTTATTGGACTTTCTTTAGTTTTTAGTTCTTTTAAAAATTGATTCAGCTGATCAGGAGTTCCAACACAAACAAAATCATCTGTACTAACTTGAATTCCAACAAAGAGTTCTTTGCTGTCCAACATTAATTTGATAACGTTTGTTGTATAGTATTCACCGGAATGCCCTACTGCTTCGTCCAATATTTTTATACAAAACTGTTTTAAAATGGTAGCTGAACGAAAAGCATAGGCACCAGTATTTGCATGGCTTGAAATCATTATTTTTTCACACACGTCTGTCACAAAGGAATATCCTTCCACTGGAGCTTTTTCCTCTAATTTTAAATAAGAATATATAGGTTTTCCACCATTATCTTCGAAAAAAAAAGAGGCATTCAAATTGTCTGGCAATTGACGAAATTCTTCAATGATCGGTTTGAAGTAAATTGTATCACAATCTAGAGAGATTGTTTTTCGTTTCAAACGATCTTCATTCATTGACTGCAACATAATGAATAGTGTCTCAGCTGCACCTCTTGTTTCAAAATCGAAAATAATCCCTTGAAATGTTTTCTTTGGATATTCCATTTTCAATGTTTGAATTAAGTCAAATTGCTTTTCTAAATTTACCATAATTCCAATATATATAATATCATCTTCTTTTGTATTTAAATGATCTAATAACCAAAATAACATCGGTCTTCCAACGATTTTAATGAGCGGTTTCGGAAAGCGATAGTTTTCCTTGCTAAAACGATGGCCAATTCCACCCATAGGAATTAGAATATTCATTGTTGATTTTTTTCTCTACTTGGATGACTGTAATATACGGTACGCAGAAGAATAAATTCCAAAAAGTATAAAATAAGAACAATTCTTCACAATACGAAGAATATCTCACATAAAACAGCACCTGCGTACCTTGAAGATTTACTGAAGTAGTGGAACCAATAAAATTAGATTGATGAGTAAGAAAATTTCTACAAAAAGGTAAAAAAAAACACAACGTTCGAAAATAATAGTATCTTTCTATATAAATAGACATAATTATATGTTATATTTTAATTACTCAGGACATTAAGCCAATACTACAGTAAAGACACACGGTCTCTACAATTGTAACGAATTCTACACCCTTCGTCGGTTTTGTGCATTTGTAGGACGATCTCTTTAAGTTCTTTGTCACACTGTTTTTTTAGTGTGTTATGAATATCTGAGGTTAGTAACATACAACTTAGTACTGCCATCTCACTTTGTGATACTTTTCTTTTTCAAAAAACAAATGTTTCGAAAGGCCAAAAAAGTGACTTTCATATAGTTCCATGACACTTGCAACAGAGGTATTTTCTCTTTTTTAGAAGTAAAATGATTCTTCACTTCTTATATTTTCTTGAATTCTAACTGAGTTTTAGATAGCATTGGGATGCCTGGTTCCCTGTGAAATTTTTCTGGATTCGGTTATCTGGAGTGTGGGTGTGGACGCGGGCGATTCTCAGCACCGATGAATGAAGGTGTGATGCCAAACGTAGAGGAATCTCTCACCGATAGTACCCACACTCCTTAGGCAACCAAAGGACGAATGAAATAGCTAATTTTTTTCTAGCCGTGGTGGTATGTCGTGTCTAGTCTTTTTGTCGTCAACGACACTGTACACAACGAATTGTAGTTTTATTTTGTGATCGTATTTGGATTAGTCTAAATGATAGACGTATAAGGAAGAAGGTTATATTCGATCATGCACACAATATGTCGCTTACCAAGCACCTAATCGATTGAACTATCAATTTCTACATGTTGATAAACATTCTAAGATGCCGTTGAATACAATTTTACTATGAATATAAATTTTTATCATAAAATACTGAATCGATTGCATAAAATTGAATAGAACTAATTTAATTTTTTTCTTATTTTACCGAATGTTTCTTCTGATCACTGACGTCTAGGAAACTCATTTTCCGCTGAAAAAAACCTAAACAACAAAAATAAAAAAAACCGTTTAGTTTACATCATGATTGAAGTTCATTTCAATTTTTAATTTTTGCAATTTAAACTGATAAATAAACTGAAATTATGTAATTTACATATTTTCAAATTAATCACAAAAATCCGTATTTAGAATAAAATGTAATTATAACATAAAGAGATAAGAAAGGCTTTTAAAGTAAATTATATTAGTTCAATTTAGGGCCTAACAATTTTTAAAAAACATTTAAAGGTAGTTTTTATCGAGAAGTAATCAGAATCCATTGTATTTTCATATGTCTTTGTGTTTCGATATAGATTTGTATTTTTAATACAAGAAAAAATACAAGTTTTTATTCTTCAGGAAGGTAATTATTTAGACTGATTCAAATGACATCCATCTCTCTTTGAATCATACTTTATCTTTAGAAGGTCCGTCTGATGTGGAACACTATCGAAGCAAATATTTGAATTCACATTTCGCCTAATTTTTTCCCACTTTTCTATTATTCTGACTATTCTCGAGGGAGTGGGCTAGAGACCGGCGAGGTGTGGGCTTGCGTAGAGAATGGGTACGAGCGTTGGTATGGTGTGTGGTGGGTCTTCTATGTAACTACACGTACATCCATTCGACTCACAGCACCCACAATCACATCCATCCATATCCTCTTTTTCTGAGTATCTGTTTTCTTTTTTAGAGAAGCTTTGAATTCTGACGATCAGTTATCTTTATTTTTCTTTTTCGTCTGTTGACTCTTTAATTAATTGTAAAACTAAATAAATTCATCTTGCAGAACAACAAAGAATCCTTTTCGGTAAGTATCCTAAAATATTCGGAATCTCCGATCTCGGTTCCGAAAATTTTTTTCAGCCTCGGTCCTCGCTGATCTCTAGAGTGGATAGACCTAACTGATATGTAAGACCTCTAAGACTAAATTTGACGGGTAGTGTGGACATTTTAGATTAGTCTTGGACGACATCCTCACTTATTCTTTTGCTTACCTGGGGTGTGAATGTAGGTGGGTGACCGATGAAGAGAAGTCTTTCCCTCATCTATTAACAGGCGAACCAAACTTCAGCCTTAAATATATTGTGGAAGTATGTTCTATATTCAGGGAGAACACTTGAAGTTCGATTTAGCATCTATGGTCACAATTTAGCAGCATGTCCTAATTTAGAGTGATGCTGAAAAATTTACCTGTTATTCAAAAAAAAACCAATGCAACCTTTTTTTGTTAAGAGATGGCATTATTTCTTACTAGTGAGCAGCATGCAAAAGAAAGCAGCGAATATATGTTTACCTTGCCTGTGCACATTCTTTATTTGAGTAAGCAATGAAGAAATTGATTTTTTCTATAAGATGCACAAAAGGTTGCTTTTACATATTTATTCTATGTCGCAAACGAAGGATAGAGAAAAAGAAAACCTTGAAGTCTGAGCAACGACTCTCATGTCATTACAGTGGCGATAATCAACACGGCACTTATGAGACATCAAGACGTTGACAATGTTGAGATGATTTTTGTTGCACAGAGACATTTAGGCATCCAATGGGAAACAGAATTCTTTTTCCTTCAGTCGCTCACATTTGTACTTGGCAATAATTTTGAGTTTGGACTTTTGTGTGGATAGGATAAAGAAGCGGCTTGTAATGGTTTGAGTGTCGACATCGGTGCTGTAGGTATCAATGTGTGGACGAGAATGTTGATATTTAATTGGTTTCGTAACTGTGTTGCTCTGTAGGTTTGCGTGTTGGCAAACGTATGATTGTGGGTTTGCTATTGTGTGAGGGTTCAAGGATTTGTGTGAGAAGTGTTGTTGGCTTAGAGTTGAAAGTCTTGTAGACCTGCAACGGGTTGAGTGTTTTTTTTCAGGCGGGTCATCGAGGACACTTGAAATCTTTTACTCTATTAATAAAAAACCAATGGAAAATCGAGCCCTACAAATTTAATGAATGAGCTATTCCTTTCAAAAAGGGTGAGGCACATGATAATACGAAGAAGCAAAGGAAAAACGTTTCAAAACTTTTCATGTGATACCTTTCAATAAGTACAATGAATAGGACAATATCTATATATTATTTTAGATAGTTTTTCATCTATAAATACATGACTTTGATACAAGATATGCAAGTTTGGTATTTTCTTCTTTAAAATCATTATTTAAGGTACTTGAAGGTAGAATGCTGCTTAATTTTTCATTTCTCTTGAGACAGTGAAGAAACAGTGTTACTCCACGTGAAGCATTTTCCCATCCATGGGCTACTATGACCAATAGAAAAGTTACAAGAGTAGGTGACCGTACAATTCGTTGCAGGACAATTCGTTGCAAGACAATTCGTCGCAACGATATAATCCAATTATAACTTATCATTATTTTCTCATAAATGAATTGACCTATTAAGATAAGTTAGAAACACATAATTCAATGAATATGACAATTGTAGAGACTATTTTTAATCACTAAACTTTGATTTTTGATTCCGAGCAGTACAATAATCGTCTGGTACACATAAAAAGTTAGGTTCTTTGAATTATGTCAGCGGTAAAAGTTTTCTTATAGAAACAGAAGTGGTGCTGCATCTTTCTTTCAATTCCTATTGTAGCTCAGGATTTACGACACATGGAACAATAATTTGAGAAAATAAGTGAAACTTAGTGTTCACTAACAAAGATTGGCTTTAGCATAACTAAAAAAAGCTTTTGATCAAATCTTTTTATTAAATATCCTTATTTAATGTACAAATTGTGTTAGTTTAAAAATTATCAGCTCTTATTTAACATGTTTAAAATTAAACTAGTTTGAATTCATCGATAATTTATACAGTGCTAACACTAGTGTTGATGATTTCTCACATTTGAGGGTTTTTCATCTCATCAGTATTAGTCGTGATGCATAAAATAGATCCGAATTTTTTTATAAAACCAGAATTTCTTATGACAATACAACCCAAAATAAAAATTCAAAGTTTAGTGATTAAAAATAGTCTCTACAATTGTCATACTCATTGAATTACGCGTTTCTAACTTATCTTAATAGGTCAATTCATTTATGAGAAAATAATGGAAAGTTGCAATTGGATAATATCATTGCGACGAATTGTCCCGCAACGAATTGTCTTGCACAAATTGTCCATGCGATGAATTGTCCGCGACGAATTGTCCTGCAACGAATTGTCC